ATCCCAACTCTGCCTATTTCATAAGAGGCTCTCTTTTCAGAGAGAAAATAGGTCATACGCTGACATACACGCATGCACACACACACACAGATATCTCTGATCCTTTTCCTCCCAGCGGGTGATTTCAGGGTAAGGGGGAGGGGAGTGCTGGTATTCAGACATTGGTAGGCACAGAATGTACGAAGGGGCAATGGGCACATTTGTAGTAAACTGAATGAAGGGATTAGGAGATCAAGCAATATATACTATTTTTACATTACATCACTGTGTGACCCAGTATACTAATTATCTTCATCGGCTAGTTCTCTAGAACTTGTCTAGGGAGGGTTGTCTGCTAGCAGAGTGTGTGAACGACGTACGTTTAGTCTGTGACATGATCACTAAGGAAGGGAGCGATAGTATTGTATGTGAACTACAGGAAATGGGAAATTGCATTTGAAATTTTTTTTTAATAAAAACAGAACAAATCTGTAATTTCTATGGATGTTAATTTTTATATTTTTTTATCAATATTTGACAAAACTGTACATGCAAGAATCACCCTGGTGTACCCACTTGTAGACGCATCTAGACACACTGTAAAAGACCCACACAAATAAATATATAAGTAAATAATAAGATAATGTGGTTTGCCAACCTTAGCACCCAGCAGGCGACAGGGAGGGGTAGTGTAAAGCATAAGATGATTAAGGAAAAAGAAGAGAACCCTGGTGTCGGCCTTAATCCCCTCGCTTTGCCATTTGCTAGTTGCCATCAGAGGGATCATAGGAAATTGACACCTACCACACCTCTGCAACCAAATGTAGATTTATTTAGAGGATGTGGGTTGTAAAAAACAAAAACAAAAAAACAAAAACTTAAAAAGAAAAAGTTTCTTTTTTTTTTTTGCCCTTCACAACGCTCTCTGCAAATTCTTCGGTGATTATGTGGTTAATTCTGAGTTGCTCTGCTTTTTTGGAGGCTAGTAGGGGGGGAGGGAGAACAAACTAGGAAAAAAATATATATATATCCTGCCCTCTTCAAATTTAAACTGCAGGGGAATTAAACCGTACACAGCACCCACTGCCTGCCACCCACGGGTGCCGGGGAAGTCCCTCACTGCCCACCCCCATTGGTATTCTGCCTTCACACCCACTTAAGTCATTGAGATATAGAGAGCATCTAAGGACAACTCATAGATCGGAGGGGGTGGTGACTTTAGTAATCTCGCTCATCTGTCTGCATTTTTTTTTTTCCTCTTATAGTTTTGGTCTTTCTTTCTCTCCCTTTTCCAATTACCTTCTTTATTTTATACAACAAACTATACGTTAAAGGGTTTGTTTTTTTTGGTACACCCTACCCTACACCTTTCACTCAACTAGATCTTAAGTGCATTTTCCCCCTTTTAGGTCTCTCTTCTTTAATTTCTTTTCCACTTATAGTAATGTTTGGCTTCTGTTTCACACACACACATATATATATATATATAATTATATATTTCTTCTGCTTGATTTTACATCGTACATCATGATCAGTTCATCTCAAATTTTTTGCACTTTTTCTTCATTATTATTATTTTTATCATGTATCTAGTGGCAACGTACTCCACAGCGCTCTACAATTTTACAGTGTGTATATATCGCAGTAAGAAATCGATGAGCAAAATAATGTTGACAATACAAGAGGTTAAGAGGGCCCCCGCTCAAACAATCGTATAATCTAGCAGATAGGATTATTGAAGTTTTGATACTAATGTGTTGAGGTACATTCAATCTTGACTGCCTTCCGCTCTCTCGCCCCCCCACCACCACTGCATGCTGGCACAAGGGTGGGCTCTGTGATGTGCGTGGGTGCTTGGCTGTCTGTGACGTTCACTGGCATGGGAGAAATTGACCTTTTCATTTTAAATGGCAATGTGGTTTGTACAGAAAAAAGGGAAGTGACAGTATGAAGAAAAAAAAAAACTAAAGAAAAACCCGAAAGAAAATACAAAAACTTCTCTATACTTGTGAAACAGCCCAGGGGAGCGAGAATGAACGTGATGACGGTTGGGAGGGTAAACATGAGAGATAGGAGGGCGGTAGCGGTGTACAGCACTTAACAGGGAATTATGGAAAGGGAGAACATAGATAAATGAGTGAGATTAAAATAGAATGTGGTTAAGATTGTGTTTGCCTGTGTTAAACAAGGCTGGAGGAACCTCTGGCAGAGTAAAGGTTAATTCACCACTCATACACCTGCCCCCACCCCAACCCCTCTATATTCCAATACAGTGTGTGCCAGTGCGCCTTGCGGCCTCATGTTACACACTGCAACAGGACGCCCTATTTGGGGAAAGGGGGGTGCAGGGAAAGGGTGGGCTTCGACTGTAGTAGGATCAGCAGAATATGCCAAAAAACTCCCAGAAATGAAAATATTAAAGAAAAAAAAATCTGCATTACTGCAGCTGTGAAAACATCTGAGTTTGCTGCATTGATCCCACCAGTGGGTCTCTTGCTAAGGGTTGGGAGACAGCCAGATTTTGCTCCCCTTTCTTACAGGATGACTCCATTATCGGAACGCACCCCACAGTCTTATACATTTTTTCTTAGATTGGGGATTTGTAATTT